TGCTGGTCCAATGGAGCCTGGTGGAACCACTGAGACTATGACCCCTAGCTGCCCTTCAGGTCTGGAATTGAACCCACACCTGTTGTTTCCAGCCAAACAAAGTACAGGCATGTGAGTTAAATATTTACCTCAAGTAGACACACGCCCTGGAGAGAACAATCATGGGAAAAGGAAGGGCTGCTTATGCACAGGGAGACAGCTCAGGGCGCAGAAGAGTATGAAGGGATGGACACTGGGAAGAGGTACCATGGGAAGGAAGTGGGAGGGGAGCTGTTGCATTGTAAATTTTGGTCAATGACATGAGACAAAGTATATGTGAACTGCTGTATGAAAAGTGAATTTACTCTGTAAATCTTCACCCAAACCAAAATAAAATTTAAAAAAAAAAGGAAAAACCAGCCCAGTAGAGAACTGAAGGTTCCCGTCCACTCTGTGGCGGCCAGTTCTGCCCAGGTTAAAGGTCAGCCTGTGTGTTAGCAGGGCCCTTTGCCGAGTCTTCCTATATTTGAAACAGATAAAGTCCTTGTAATTTGAAAGCTACTTCTATGGAAGGCTGGCTTTGTCCTTTTTTTTTTTTTTAAATGATGTTTGTTGTTGTTTCTGCCATTGTTTGTCTGATAAAAAAGACACACTGTACCTTTAAATGAGCAGGCAGGGCATAATGAACTGCCGGCAGTGAAAAGCCTAACGTGCTGTGGAGGAGAAGGAGTTTAATCTAATTTAGTTGGAGGGTGTCTGTCTGCCGTGTTGTTTTTTGGAGTGTGGGAATAGAGGACAGAAGCGGCCCCCTTGAATGGCCCCTCCCGAGCCAGAAGCAGTGGGGAGCCCCTGGAAGCCTGCAATCCAAAGCCAGGCATGAAAGAGGGATTAGAGGGAGGTTCTGATTTGCAATTCACACTAATGCACCCCGCGGAACCTTTGGTAATATTTCAAGCCACATTTCAAGGGAAGGAGCCTTAGGATCGCTGTCTAAGTGGTCCTGGAGCAAGGCTGGGCTGGGCACAGCCATCACCGTTTCAGGACGTGGAGGTTTTTTTCCAGATTGTTCCTCATTCCCATCGTACAGCTCCTGGCTTTAGGTGTAATTGAAACTCACGTGCCTGTTGCATCTGCCGCGGCCCGTGGCCCTTCTCTCTGCTGGGCACAGATGGTGTGTTCTCTGCACTGAAGAGCGGGCCTTCGGTGAACTAACAGGCCTGCCCCTGGAGAAGAGCCGGGGATGAGCGGGGGCCGTCCCCACAGGGTTTGCAAAGGAAATTTCCCATTCGTGTTTAATATTTGCTAATAAGTTCCTGCAGTAACTTAATGCAAGAGGAAGTCAGGGGAAAATATGTCTGCTGGCATCAGAGAAGTCCTCCTCGCATCAGGCAATGATTAGTGAGAAGACTACAGTTAATTCTTACTTGAAGGTGGAATGGGCCAAGCTCCCTACTAAGTACAAATCCACAAATACTGACAGCATTGCAGGGGACGAGAAGAAACACAAGAACGGTGTCAGTGGCTTGCCACACCGGACTCCCCGAGGGAGAGGACCCACACTGGAGCTCCTAGGAAACGCACGAAGATAACATGAACCATTTTTACCATAAAACGTGACTTTACGTCTTTTTATGAACGTTGCCGATACATCCCTGTTACAGGCACTGGCCTTTCACAAACTTTCCTCTTTTGATTAGCTTGTAAGATGCAAAGCCTAGAGTTCTGTTTGTTTTTTTCTGAAGGTTTTTGGGGTTTCCTTAATCCCATTTCAGAAAACCCTGCAGTTCTCAGAATTCCCATTGACGCTAACTTAGCAAGAGAAGCAGCAGCTTTGATTTTTTGCAATGTGCGCACCAAAGCAGTTCCTATTTTTGACACGGCTGCTTTGGGCCATGAACGTCTGTCTCTGCCCATTGTCCAAGAACGATTTAGTTCTAGTCCCAAATACTGCCCTGCTCCAGAAAATTCCCTCCCGAAACCCTATATTCTCCCCCGGCGAACCACTGTGAGAACTTGAGGGCAATTGCAAGGGGGCTCTTTGCTTTACAATTTTAGGGAGAAAGGGTAAAAAAAAAAAAAATTTCCTTGTCCCTGCAAGCTGGCCCGTTATTTGAAATCATGTTTAAGGATGAAGTTCCATTAAAAACCTTTGCTGAAAATTTTAGAGACCTAATAAGAGCCCCATTAATTTAAACACATCACTATTCCCACGCTGGCCCCAAACGCTTTCTTACCCCTCTTTCATCCATGGTTAAATATGTAAATAAAATGTCTAAAGTCATTCTTCAAAGAAGACAAAAGAAAAAAGGGCTGAGAGGCAAGACAACCATAAAATTCCTCCCAATTCTGCGTAACATTTGCCAGAGGGGGGCCGGTTTCGAGCCAGGGCTGAGCAGTAGGGGACCAGGCCGCCTCTTGGAATCACAGTCTCAAATCCCACACACAGGAAAAAATAAAATCTCTCTTCAGCTGGAGTATCAAAAGGCCCTTTTCATTGATCAGTCGCAGAGTTATCTTCCTTCACTTGCTGATTTCTGGGGCCCTGGGCTTTCTACAATGATGTCTATCTGTTGGTTTCTACCTCAGCTGGGCAGAGAGAGGCCCTTCCGCAGACGTTTTTGTAAAAATGCGAGAAGAAAGCCATCTGAAGTGGTTAGAGCTGAAATAATGGGTCTGAACGTGGCTGAATTAAAGCAGCACATAAGACATCAATTAGGAGGCCGGCCCCCTCCTGCCCCCCTCCTGGCCTGAGGGAGAGAAACAAAAGGACAGGGCAGAAAGGGGTGCCCATGAAGGGTTCTTGTGAGGAAAATTCTAGAAAAGCCAAGAGAGAGCCACTGAGTCTTTTTGAACTTCAGGGTTGTGAATGTTAATTCCCCAAACTGGAAACAACATCTATCCTAAGAAAAAGGGCAGCCTTTTAAGGAGTATGATTCTTTTTCCCACTAGGGAAATACTCATAGTTGAGGGGACTGGCCAGACTGTGTTAGCTTCCGCCTCCTGCTCCACCCCCTCTGTCACCCCAACTTCCTCTAGCTCCTCCAGTGAGACTCGGGGTACCAGGCTGACTTGGGGGTGTGCTGAGGGAGGCTCACACGGCGTGTCGTCATCTCAGGCCAGTCCCGACCTGTTTTCCCAGTAAATGTCTGTTGAACAAATGAATGAATGAATGCACGGATCTCAGTGAGCCTCAGGTTTCTTAGCGACTCTCTTTGAATAAAACCCAATGCCCTCCGGTTTGAACGTCCCCACTTCCATCGTTCTTACAACCAGCTGCAGCTGGAGGGGCCTGGTCCCTTCCCGGCTCTTCCTACAGACGGGCTCCCCCGCAGCGTCTGCCGTTGCGCGGGGGGCGGGGTGGTATCCAGCTCCCGCCAAGCCCCCTGGAAAGAGGCGAGAGCGGGCAGCCGCAGCTCGGGGTGCCCTGTGCGCACCCCATCCGCTTCGCTCCTGTCCCCCCACCGGGGAGGGCCCCCCTGGAGCCAGTGAGAGACGCCATCCCTGAGCCTGGGAGTTTCCCAATAACTTTACAAGCAGCTTGACCTTGAGGGCGTCTACGGGGAGACCGGCCACCTCCAAGGGGGCACTACTTCTTTAAGGGTTAGTTGAGAATGCGGGTGAAGCACCTTGCGTGTTCCTCGGAGAGGCGGGGTGCGGGTGTGGGCATCGGCCGTCCGGCTCGTGTCCTGGGGAGGATGGGGCGGCGGGGTGGGGGTTCCGAAGGGACTTCGTCGGATCCGAGGGGTCAGCGCGGGGCGTGAGGCGGGACGTGCGCACCTCCGCGGCCCCCAACTCCGCAGCCGCTGACGGGGCTACAGCCGGGAGGGCGCAGGCCTGGCGAATCGCTCGCCAAATGATATAAATACCCAGCGAACGAACGACTTCCTATAATAAATAAACCCGGCCGCCAAGAGGAATCCCAACCCCGCGCGAGGCCCCTCACCGCGGCCGCCCGACCCCGACTCCCCGAGGCGCGAACGGCCCAGGAAGCCCCCGTCCCCCCGCCGGCGGGGAGGCGCCCCGGACCCAGCGGCCCTCCCCCCGCCCCGCGCGCCCCTCTTTGAAAGTTCAAAGCGGTCCCCCGGAGCC